TTAAAGCGGAATGACTTGGTCTATAATGTACCATTTCACCTTTCATAGAACAGTTCGGAAATTCATTAGTATTATGACGTGAAACCAACGGCATAAGGCATGTGGCGCAGACATTCGAAGTGGTTTCCGCATCTCCCTCAATGGATACACCCACCACTTCTTTACAGTCCATGATTCCAGATTTTGTAGAAGAAAGAGATGAACGAGAGGGTTCTGCAGTCCCTAGAACGCAGAATTGTAAGTTATATTGATTTTTGAAAGCTTCAAGTGGTTGAGCATCGTGAATGCTTCCGAAACCACTTCCAGACGTGAACGCGAGAAGAATTACCGTCACCGTCACCCATAAGCTGAGCGTGGATCCTGAGACTGGCCAGATTCTTAGCTCTCCTCGGCGGTGGAGCGCCGTACTGCACGTCGTCTTCGACGCAACTATACACTCCCTTCCGTCGAGAAGTCATGGTGGTTTACGCTGTCCCTTAAAAACAGACGCACTAAGTGAAATATAAACAGTATCGTAGATTATCACCTGAAGAGGGTCATAATGTGATAACCGTTTGAAATTATCGATTCTATACATTGAAAGATTTAGGCTTCCAGCCTATGATACCCAAATAAGCCATTTGCAGACACTCGTACTTAAGATACAACAATATTTCTTGATTTCCATAACCCCGCACCCATTTAAACGCTCTATTTCATAAGTAGACAAAACGTGAATCCCGAATCCCATGTATTTCCCGAAGTTGGTAAACCTTGTCGGGTAGCAAATCACAGTTACTTCGCATCCTTTGCCCCGCACTATTTGAAGACGAAAAACCGTGCTTACTGTTCTCCTGAGGAAAAGAAAACTTCCAATACAAAGTCGATAACTTAAAATAGAGTGAATGAAACGTTCATACTACAAAGTTTACGAAATCTCGCTGGTCAGACCCCAATATCTACAGACAACAAAACCAGACCAGAATTGATTTTCCGAGATTATTGAATCAAATCAGGATTGTCTAAGGGAAATGACGAAATCCACAAGTATTTTTTCCGAGATACAGAATACCTACAATGAAACCTTGGCATAAGATCGGTGAAATCGTTTGCGAATTGGCATTTGCAGAAATGTTTCAAAAACAACGGCTTTTCCCAACCGTCATTGAATGACGTGCTTTTTTAACAGAATTGCTTCCCGGATTATGGTTTGTCTCAAGACTCTAGGCAATGGTGATATTCAACGATGATAACGTGTTTGATAGAAACCGAGAGTCTAGACGTGGGAGTCTCCCAGTAGAGAGCACCATAACGAAATAGACACATTATGGTAAACCGAAGATTTTGCCTAGCCGATATCGCTGTTGTACGGAAATTCTACGTGGGATCAAACCATCACCTCCTTCGCGCAAGATTCCCTCTCTCGCGGAAAGGAGAAAAAGCCGCTAAATTCAAAAACTGAAGTCCCAGAAGCACCGTAAACTGGGACTTATTCAATCCATTAGTCGGCAGCTCGGAAGATGCGTTGCCGATAACATCTACAAAGAATACGATTGGCTCATTCAGCATCTTCATATAAGCATACTGGCTATTCAGGCCGAAGTACGATGTTAATCGGTTTCGAAAAATGTTGATTCGCTACGTGTTATGTGATATAATGCCGATAACTACACGATGGGTTATCCTCAGAGCACAGATCATTATCAGTGGGCAATCAACAACAACCGTAGGTGTAATTTCCGTAATTCGTAGGTGTTGTACGAGCGCGCACAAGTTACAGAAGAAAAGGTAAAAGTGTGTTTAAAAGACGAATCTAAATGGATAGATTGTTTTTAACCCAGCTCTTCCAGTGTTCGATTCAAGCCAATGCACGATGACGACCAAAAGAGAGAAAGAGAAACAAGGAAAGTGAAAAAAAGTGCCACCCAAAATCGTACGGTGAATAGAGAATTTACGCATTATGTGTGGTGAAAAACTTCTCATATGAGCGGTGAACAAATCGTTACCTTACTTTGTATGACAACATCGAATCCCGAAGATTAACAAAAAAAAGTTAGAGACGATTAGAAACACAGAACGCCATCTGAAAAACAAAATCAAATCTTTAGCGAACAAACCCTGCAATTCCAAGTTGGCTATGTGGGGACATTTACAGTGCTTTACCAGCCAGTGATAATCACTAGTCGTTGTGGACGAGAAAGAGATTTGGTTTTTCGGTACTACAATTTTCACAAAACAACAGTGATTTCTTTGTTCGCAACAATACATGGCCTCACTCGCAACATGCTGAATCACGAAAATTGCCAGATTACGAAGAAATACGGTTATGTCATCTTATCATTATAGTTTCAATTACTTAGGAAACGAACAAGGACTGCTACATCGCCATCGAGCGGTCGTTCACCTAGGCGCAGAATCGCCTTAATAGGAACCTGTTCAGAACGACTCCGACTAACGCAGGAAATATCTCACCATACCAAAGGATGGTGGCTGCCTATGGCGAAGACCTGTAAAGGTTCTAGCACGGCTATTCCGAAATTACAGACAAAATAAATGCGACACGACAGCCACATAAGAGAGCGAAATTCTCAAACAGCGCACAACCCACTATTGAATCCGAAGACCTTGGCAGAAGAGCGATGGGAGAAAAGAAAACAAATGAGAACTAGGACTTATTCGCAATATATCTAAACGAAAATATAAAGAGACAAATAAAAGACAAAAAGGAAAGTACATTCAAAAAATCATGTTGTAACCGCACGAATTAATGGCCCTCAAAAAATATATGTTTCCATTCTATTCACAATCCCTTGTAAATGTTCTGAAAAAAGTTGACCAATAGGATACTGCTTTCATAATGCTAAATATACAAAACAAAAAACAAACAGGAACCAAAACAATCATATCGTCAATGATGCTGAGATATTTGCAAAACTCCGGGCCGCAG